TATTCAAGAAATGTGGCAATTTGAATGTATGCTCCTCTTCAATACGTTTTTGATGCGCAACATTTCTTTCTCTTGTTGTAGAACCAAACTTTGTGGAGTGTCGAGGAAGAAAAGAGACGTATTTGTCCATAGCACTTTGCAACTGCTGCAACTAGACGTGGTGAAAGCACTTTCTTCTATCTTGTTTTTGTGATGTACAAATATGTATTGAACTTAGCACGCACAAGAAATTGACAAAACAATTTGCTGCTTTGCATATCTCTTAGATTACTCGGTAAGCAGTTGCATGATTTGATGTTTTCAATGTAGTTATAAAGGGAAAACTATTATTGTTTGCTTGCCTTCTATTCCAACGGTCCTTTTTTACTTGGTTGCTTCGATGTGTTTACATTTGTACCTGTTTGCTTGGCGATACTGATGACATTGTAGAATAAACATCTACGTTTTCACATTCATTGTGATTTTTGGGATGACTGAATTTTGACATGTTCTACACTTTAATATAGGGCACCATGCATATGTAACACATATTTATGTTCGCATTGTAGCATTAACATCTAAGTTTTAAAGTGTTTTGTGAATTTTCGGAAGACTGGTTTTCTGCTGTTATGTACCAAGTTTGTGTGTTGGGGCACCATGCATACGTATGCCATGTTTCTGTTGAAAACTGTCGTTCCTAACATTTGGCTGCAGTATTTCTCGATAGTTGGGTGAATCCCGACAGTTAGCTGCAGACATTCTCGATAGATGACAGATGCCACTGTCATGTCAGACGAGTGCAGTCATCTGTCGACAAAGGTTTCGGTGACAGTGTCTCGACACATGACTGTGGGCACTAACGACATTGCACGTGAGTTTAGAAATAACATGTCTCTCCAACGTTCATATCTCATTACTCCACGTATTTTCGTACATTCAAAATATTTTTAGTAACAGTTTTTTTTATTTGAAAATTGTATGCACAAGTCGCCATAATAAATATTTAGTGCAAGTTTGGGTAGATGATCTGTTCTTATACGTTTCTCGTATTACTTGTTATGATTGATGTGGTTGTATGCTTTTCGGAAGTACGCTTCTTTATAATATTCATTTGTTGTTGAATTATGGTCTGACCATTATCATTTCATCTGCAGAATAGATGAAATTTCAATTTTGGGTGCCCGAGAATGTACGATTGCCCGCGAACATCTCACAACGGAGCAACCTGAAGTACATTAAAACGATGATGGATAACTTGGACGACCGACTGCGGGCTGACTTTTGCAACTCCTGCCTTGAGTTTCTTGCTGACGTTCCGGAGATCCAGTTTTCCACTCAACTAATCCAGGCACTTGTGTGCCGAGGGATTTGTTGCGATAATTCTCACGAGTTGTGGCTCAACGTGCAGGCCACCTTACCCGGTTTGGAGTGAAGGAGTATGCTATCGTCACTGGACTGCATGCTGGCTCGTTTCCAGAGGGCGATCGATACACAAAAGCATTGGAGAAGAGGAGGCTGAAGGAAAAGTATTTCGAATCGTTGGAGAAGATTTCATGTGCCTAGTTGGAGAAGACCTTTGTCTGTGCGTTGACACCCATGGTAGATAGCTACAAGCTCGAGCTTGCTCTGATTGTGGAAGGAGTTATCACTACTCCGGACAATAATATTGGCATTGATGAGGATACGCTTTCCCTCGTCGATGACTTGGAGTTGTTTTTTTCCTACTCCTGGGCCAAAGTGGGGTATAGGCGTTTGTTGAAGGGATTCCAGGGTACTTGGGCATATAAAATGAGTGATGCAAAGATGAAGAACGAAAAGGACATCAGTTACACAATTCACGAATTTTCGATCGCCATGCAGGTAAGAACAACATTAAGTTTATGTTTTTTATTTGTAAGTATTAGAATAGTTCTCTACATTCTTTGGATGGATACTTATGCGACAATTTTTTTGTTTTCGTCCGGACAAATTTGGGCATATGAGGTCATGCTTGAACTCGGCGAACGCTTCGATCAGCAGGTGGGTGAACGATCGCCCCGACTTCTATACTGGACCTCTACCAAATAACCACAATAGCGTATGTACGATGCGTTCTTTAGGGACGTAAGGTCATAGACATTTTTCATTTGCCTTTCAATTATTTTGTTTTTTTGGGAATACTATGCAATATATTTTAACTACCCGTTCTCCCCTATTTCTACAGCTGCACGTGCATGCCACACTGCGTCCCACGGAGGCCGAGCATGATCTCCCATACATCGCCAGTTTGGTGCCATTTCCCAATCGTCCGGTGCAATTTTTGGACGACCTCGCTAGGAGTGTTGTCGGGCCACAGTTCCATCAGGCGGCACCGCCCAGTGGGAGACATGACGGTAGCGCTGTGGGTGATGGCCATGACGATGAGTCCGGTGCAGGGGCCGAGGACGATGAGACATCCGTTAGCGATGATCGTCAGACACTGGAGGGCAACGACAACGATGGGTCTAAGGCTGATGAGAGTGGAGACAGCAGTCGCGACACCTCCAGCGAGACTGGTGCTGGTGACACCGAGGACGACGAGGATGCCTCGGGACGATAGTCGGGTGCATTACCCACTCCAATGGGTGTTCCATCCACATCTGGGCTGCAGGCTACTCGTGGTGGATCGACTGTGACGAGGGAGGACGTGGAGGGCATGTTGTTAGACCAGAGCATCCTGATCGAGATGAGGTTGCGGACCATGAAGCTTGAAATCATTCAGCACGTGACCGAGGAGTTTGCCAGATTGAAGGACTCCATATCTAGCTTAGTGTCCCCGTCCAATGGCACCTCCACTTCCGCTGCAGTTCCTGTCGTGAATGAGCCAAACATTTGGGATGACCCCCACGAAGGTATGAGTTTGTTCTACTGCAACTTCCACTTACAACATGTCTGTAGAGCTATGCAATTTTTCTTATGCGTTCGCTTACAAATGTATTTTTTTAATTGCTAAATTACTTAGATGTACATGAACAAGACATGGACCTGTGGCCGGATGACGGTGGCCGTCCTTCACCTACCAGGAACTTGGAGGTGAATGGTATGTCGATTAGTTATGTGTAACACATATTTGTATTTGATGTCATCTCATTTCGTGATATGCAACTGTATTCAATTTAAGTCCTTCAGTAATTTTTTTTTGTTTTCCAACTAGACGGGGAAGGCAGCGACGAACAGAGCCCACATGAGGACGACCATGCAGAGGAGGCTGAAATGCAGGAGGTGAATGGTACGTGCGTAATTTGTGTATTTTATGTCATCTCATCTCGTGATATGCAAATGTATTCAATTTCACTCGTTGAATAATTTTCTCTTTGTTTTCCAACTAGACGAGAAAGGTAGCGACGAAAGGAGCTCACAGGACGACGACCATGCAGATGAGGGTGAGGCGAACGGTACGTGCATAATTTTTTTTCAACTTTTGTCATCTCATCTCGTCATATGCAAACGTATTCAATTTCACTCCTTCAATAATTTTTCTTTGTCTTCCAACTAGACGGGAAAGGAGAAGATGAACGGAGTCCACAAGATGACGACCATGGAGAGGAGGGTGACATGCAAGAGGTAAACGGTACGTGTGTAATTTTTGTCAACTTTTGTGATTTAGGTTCTATTACCAATCACTTCCCCATTACGCAAATGATAATTCATATCTTGTGTTTGTCCATTTCATCTAATTTTCTTTCAACTAGACCCTGAAGTGACCGTCCCCACGCTCTCCAGGGATGACAACGAGGAAGCCCCATTGACCCATGACGTCACGGAGGTGGATAGTACGTGCATATTTTAAACGGGTCCATCTTATTCCACGAGTATGTGGCCTCCTTCACACATAACTGTTTCACTAAAATTTTGAAATTTTTTATATAGGCACTGCCACACAATTGTCGGGACAAGTGACTGTACCAGAAAAGGGAGGCAATGTAGGCAGCACAAACAGGCGGTGATCGACTCGTGTTTGACGTCCTGCACCACCTACCTGGACTCCATACACGAGGGGAAGGGCAAAAAGAGTAAAGAAATAAGTCAGTTGAAGTAGTCCGGTAAGGTGTATTGTAGTAGTAGATACGTTGTTCATAACAAGGACATGCTTTTAATTTGGTTAGTTTTATAGACAGGTAGGTTTGTTCAGCAATACGCTAAACGTTAAACTGTTTTACGTAGAGTACATATCTTTTTGCGATAATAAATGTTTAGTGCAAGTATGGGATGGTATTGTCGGTTAATTTTGTGTGTATGCGTTAAAAAAATAATGCATGTATTGTTCATGATATGTGAAACGGTTGATCAACATCAGAACTAAAATGATATATCATCATTCTTATATATCCCAGTCATATGTGAAACGGTTGTTCATTTTTTTGACGATTAGATTGCATGCACGTTTCCTATTCCATAGGTGAGTAAATTTTTTGATTTGTACATTGATTGGATGGATAATTATGAACATTCTCTGCTGTGTCATTTCACTTTAGCACACACTTGATGCAGGTAGGCAGCACATTCATTCGGAGGGCTGATTTTTGAGTTGATCGTGTACGTTCATCGAGGTGTGATGATGAATTTTTGCAGACTGGTGAAGACTATAGACAAAATGAAGGCTGAGGCTAAAAGAAAAGGTGTAGTGATTAGCACCAAAAAACAGCCAAAGGGACCCAAACTTGGGTTCATGCCTAAAGATGCAACTGTGGAGACTATTACTCCTATTCCATATGATGTGGTTAATGATCTCAAGGGGGGTTATTAGATTACTTCAATTCCATATTGGGATATGGTTAAGTGGAAGGGACATTGAGGCAGGACATTTGTTTGTACTCTAATTAAATTGATGTTCATGCTACTTGGTTAAGTAGTAGTATTTTGTACTTTAATTTCATTAGAGTTGAAGGTGTTATACCTGTACAAATGAATCATGGTAT